CCCCCGGGTCAGCTGGGCCTTACACCGCTCCTTCAAACAACACAGGTTGGCGTATGAGCAGTTGCATTTCAGAATGTGTCGTCTTTAAAGATGTGACGGGTACGACAGTTAAGTGTGGATAGGTCTGTAAACCTGTGTTCTGTTCAAGGTCTGCTCAGTTCGGGCGTTCCCTCTCTGTCACAGAGGAGACAGCGGAGCGGATTGATCCTCAGCACTGTTGAGCAGGCATGGTGTCAACTTGTCTACTGTGGTTTTCTTGCTTCCAAACAAAGCAGGAAAAAAAACGACGGGGAACAAGATGTCACCATTACTGCCAGCTGGCTGGAGGTGAAATTGGTTGTTATATTTGCATGCCCTGTTCTGTTGTTCTTCTGCTATAAAAGAACGGATTTCAAAATCATCAAAAAAATTGGATTGTTCCAAATATTTTATTGATCACAGTACAATTCACATTATTGTAAAAGGAAAGACAATTAGAACATTTCTGTTCTTTAAGGCATTGTTAATATCAAAGTTTTAAAGTAATCATGTACCAATGCTCGCCTGTGAGGATCTGTAAATGCAACTTGTCTCTCAGCAGCATAGTTAATCTATTATTCTACTGTCCATATGCGATCAGGGCATCCCAAGGCATTGGCAACTCAAGAGCAGAATCGTCAGGTGGCTGAGGATCTCCATTTTTTCTTAAAATGTTATGTAGTACAGCACAAGCCACAATGATTATCATGGCTTTATCTAACTTAACTGTTATACCCAGAGCAAGCACAGGAAACCTTCGCTTCCAAACACCAAACATGCGTTCCACTGGATTCCTTGTCCGAATTTGTGATTGATTGTACAGTTGTTCCTCAGGTGTTGTAGGGTCAGAAAGAGGCCTCATGAGATATCTCTTACTGGCATACCCACCATCCCCTACAAGTAAACTGTCACCATACAGCCCAGCCTCAAAGTTTCCTTTCTGAGTACTGTTATCAAAAATTGTCACATCATGTACACTGCCGGGCCAACGAGCAACTAAGTCCATAAACTCAAGGTTGCTATTGCATATTGCCTGACAATTCAATGAGAAGTAACCCTTCCGACATCTGTAGTACTCTGCATGCTCACCCCCAGGTGAGCGAATTTTTATATGAGTGCAATCAATTGCACCAATTACTCGTGGAAATCTTGCAATAGCGTAAAAGGCACCAACAGTCTCCTGCTTTTCTCGTTCATTTCTTGGGAAATAAATAAACTGCCGATAAAGTTCAGCTATTGCTGATGATACTCGATGAATGATACGGTGTGATGTGGACTCACTTACTCCACTGAAGTCTCCAGCAGATATTTGAGTGCAACCCGTGGCATAATATCTCAGGGTTAGTAGCAGCTGGTTTATAGGAGATACTGAGAAATTCCTGTAATTTGAAAGTACACAACTGACTTATTACCGTCTACAATATGTAGCAATTAAGTAGAATAAGAAATCACTACTTACTTGTCACTCTCAAACTCTAATTTTTGTTCAATAAGTTCCAACACAATCAAAGCACATCTTTTTGACAGTCTGAACCTTCTGACAAAATCAACATCGTCCAGGTCTTCAAAGTGAGCACATCGCTCACGAATAAATCTAGGCCTTCTTGTGTCCTCAAATTCTTCATCACTGTCACTTTCAAGAAGCAAATCAATAGCTCTTCGAAGGGCAGGTCGCATACGTAACATCCTCTATTAAACTTGTATTATAATACTTTGTTTGATATTTCGATGAACAATAAACAATTCAACTCAAGAAGACGACAACAACAAATGTCAAAAGGTTGGGATGCCTTTGAATAATTGGGTATTTGGATCAACAATAAACAATTCACCTCAATTTAAGACGACAACAACCACTGCCAAAAGGTTAGGACGGCTTTAACGGGCTGCTAAAGGGCCGGGAGGCGGCCCACTAAAGTTAACGAGCCGTTAAGGACTTTAAGGGATCCGTCAACTGTGGTGAAACGTAAACAGAGGTTAACGGGCCGTCAACTTTCCCGCGCTTCGCTAATCGTCCGTCAGGAGCGCTGGTGAAAGAGGGCCTCAGCGGGAAATGCAAACAGGAGACACCTCATGATGCAAAGGTGCGGTCGTAAGCCGGTCACTCAAACCTTCTCAAAAGCTCAAAAGAGCCTCTGCGTTTTTAAGCAACAGTAGGCATATCAGGAATTTTCATGATTTTTTTTTTTTTTTTTTAATGTTTGGTCTGTTCAGTCTAAGGGGTAAGGATAAAGGTAATAACGCAATATGAGGCTAAGATGAAATTTATTACTTTTTTTTTTTATGCGAGCCACCCTACATCTGCTCACAGTTAAGAACTTTCATATTTTTATCATTTGCCATAGTATTCAAAACATACATTCAGGTGATATTCATTTACTATCATAATACTGTATAACATACTAGAAATGCACAGAGGAAACGAACAGAAGAGTTCCGCTCCTTCAGCTTAGGAAGATGCGTCCATCACAGAGTCAAGGGTCGCTCGTATCGCAATCAAACATGTTTTCATATCTGCAATATGTCATGGTAAAAACAAAAGCAGTTAAATAATTGAACTGCCAATTTTGTAGCAATGAAACTGACTAAAACAATGTTTCCTTTCTTTCAATAAAAGAACAACAAAACAAGTTTCTGCATTAGGTAATACAGAGCAAATATCAACACTCGACAATCACAGGGACTGCCAAACGAATTTGCCCACAGATAAACGGCATGCCATTTCCAATGAGAAAGGTAGGCGATGGAGTGTGGAAGGGCATCGGAGGTGATGCACCCCCTCACGGCCAGAACCAGCACTCATCCCTCCTCCTGCCAACTACCAATGCTTTAAGTTACCTTGTGTCAATCTGTATAACAGAGAAAAGTGGAGTAGGCTCCATAAAACTAAGTCAATGCACAAGGTTTTGACTTTCATACAACTAAGATTGTAAAAAACATTTATGTCAGAGTCTCACTAACTCCAACACACTGACAATTTTATGTTGGGAAATTAACCCCTGCTAAAAAGCAGAAGTCATAATAAAAGCATACCACTTTCAGGTATCAGTCTTTTGAAGAAAATATCACAATCAGTACTTAGAGTACAGTAGGACCATTAACAGTGTTCCCTATAGCAAAATACTCATTAGCATGGTTCTAACCGACCTTTCTCTCTTGGACTTGCAACTTAAGTTAAAATTATTTGCTACGATTTACATATCACAGAACAAGTGTAATTGAGAATGAATCACAATGTATGATCCAAACGTACACAATAATTTACACATAATATTGAACTCTGATTCATAACTATGTACACGACCCTTGAGGGGGACAGATCATTTAGGGGGTTAAGGAACGTTTTCAAGATCTATAAATATCTTTTCACAAGGAAAAAAAAAACAAATAAAAAAAGCCATACACTTCAACACATAAAGACTTCCACAATTTGAAGTCTTTGGGCAAATAAATAGTTGTAGACATAATGTCACAATTTCTTCACATAAGAAAATTGAAGCCTAAGAGAGGCTCAGGGAACACACGACAAAACAGTATATGACTGATTGGCATGCTCATTACCCCCACAACAAAAGATAAATAACAATGTACTCTATTTACCAGATGCATATCTGGTCCTCAATACATTGTTGAACATTTTTAAAAAATAGTTTTCTTTCCAGTTCTAGCAGTGTCAGTCGACACAAAATAAAAACTAGGTGGTCGTACCTCCCAACCCTCCCCCCTTCTGAATGTTTCGTGCATCTCAACAGCATACAGAAATATGGAAATCTACTTTAACATTAGTCGACAAAAAGGAAATATACACAAACTGGAATGTGGTCTTACATAGCATTTGTTTGGTTCAACAATTGTAAGATCAAAATGACAAAAATAGTGCTTGTCCCACACACCAATATTAAATAATATAGTGAATTTGAGTTCTTTCAAAATCTACTCACTTCCAGACCCCCCTTAAAATCAATTTGTAAAAAAAAGGTGAAAACAGTCTGCACATATACATTGATAACATCACAATGCATGATGAATTGAAACACAAGATGAACATGAAAATAGATCTGATAAATGGAGAAGATTCTATGTCACTCCTCAGTAAGGGAATAACCTCCAGACCTATACAATAACTGAGAAAGCTTGAGACTGTATGTAAGGTTTATCAGTTACTCTCAACAGCTCCTTGAATCTTGTCAACAATATATACAAACAAATCACAGGACACAGGGGATGGCTTCTTGCCTTTCCCCATTGCTTCATGAGCAATAGCCAGTACTACACATTCAATTGTACTGAATGAGTGCCATTTGACTGATCAGAGAACTCCTTAAAACAAATTAACATTCAGAAAGAAAAAAACAATTTTGATCATAGACGGAGAACTCTGTTTAGTTAACAATGAAAAACTTTGGTGATAGTGTGTCAAATCACATTGCAACTGGAGGGCACGCTGCCCGGCCAGCGGGTCAGGTAACTTTATGCAGCTCTCAGGTAACTAGATCTCTACTAATGACAGCTGATCTAACTGACCCTAACACAAAAATAATGGCAATGGAATAAACAATCTCTCAGTCCAAATATATGAATGGAGGGAAGACATCAGTTTAATGAGTAGATATTAAAAGAATTGTCATCCTAAACTAGAATACTCATAACAACCAAAGAAAAAAAAATAGTTAAAAATCATTTCTCTAAGTTAGATAAGCAGTGTTATAGAGCAAAATAATAGTAAAGCAAACCACACACTGAGCCACTTCAGCTCACTACAGAGAGAAGATACATCTACTGCTGCACAGCTTGTGGCTGAGAATAACCAGCATAGTAAGCCATTGGGGTCTGGTAGCCTCCATAGGCACTAGGAGACATGCTTTGGTATGCACAGGCTCCACTAGCCTGTGGTGGACGGTTGGTCTGGAAAAACTTGTTGTTAATCAGACTCTGGACACCACCATCAGCAGTTGGCTGCATCATGAATGGTGGAGGCATGTTGAACATCTGACCACTGTGTCCTCCCTGACCATTGGCATAATTGTTGTTAAAGCGGTTGTTGAAACGGTTGTTTTGGTAGCCACTGCGCTGCCCTTGGTTGCCATATCCACGGTTGTTTTGATAGCCATTTTGACCACTGTAGCCATTCTGGCCATAGCCATTTTGTCCACCATAGCTATTCTGGTTATGGTAACCATTTTGCTGACCATGGTAGCTATTGGTTTGGTTGTATCCATTTTGATATCTAGAAATGCAAAAGAGCCCTCATTAGTACCCTCTAAAACAAGGAAAATAAGCAGATTCCACTGATAATTACCCATTTTGATAACCATTCTTCTGATAGTTGCCACGGTTTTCACCAGGATTACGATAATTGTTGGCATTGGGGCCACTGAAACGGGGCGAGTTAGTGGAATGAACACCATTACCAAGACCATTGGCGCGATTTTCATTATTGTTGCTGTGCCAATTCTGTCCATTTTGACGATTTTGATTACGATCACCATTGGATGTATCCTTGGTGCTGTATTTGTTCCACCGGTTGCGTCCTGCCATGAAATGCATGTAAGTAAACGGGAAACGCATAGAGAAGGACAAAGTCAACAACTAGATTAAGAGCTCACCTCCATATTGAGAACGGGCCAAGTTAGCAAGCTCAGACAAGGCTGGGCAAACAGTCTGATTGGCTTCCTGCAAGACTTGGATCAATTCCTTGGCTTGACGCTGGTTGTTAGGTGTGAAGAAGGCATAAGCAGTTCCACTCTGAAGACAACGACCAGTACGGCCAATACGGTGGATGTAATCTTCAGCAGTATTTGGGTAATCAAAATTAATCACAAATTTGACATCTTCCACATCTGTAAAAAAAAAATAGATATGAAATATATGGTCTAAAGAATTATAAGAAAGAAAAATTCCTGCATACTAAACATACCAAGACCCCGAGCAGCAACATCAGTGGCAACCAAGATGTTGGATTTTCCACTGCGGAACTCAGCAAGAACATGGTCCCGTTCAGGCTGAGATTTATCTCCATGAATGCTAATAGCTTGCCAGCTGGAGTGAAAGCACAAAGGGTAAAGATTAGATTGATAATTACCACATACTGTACTCTGCAGTTAAACCAAATTTAAAATAGAAACTTGCATTTCTATGACAATTGCAAGGCATGCATCTAGTAGTTGGGGAAAGGACAAATCTCTCCCAACTTTCCCTAAGGTCTACCTTCCCAAGTCTACAATTTGCCTAGAGAATTTTTCAAGACTGCTTACATTAATGCACCAGCAACAGCAGCAACAGCAACACTTGAAATGAAATGACAAAACAAAGACTGTTAACATCAAAACCTCCATAAACACATGAGATCTATTAAATGTGCTGGACTGACTATTGAAATCCGTACAAGCACAGCTGATGGATAACAGTCAACCCCAAATGTTACTCAAAGGAAAATTTAAGTTCTAGTTAGCTGATGCTGCTGAACTGGCAGAATTTAAGAAATCCTGGGACATTTAAAATATTTTGAAACAAAATTTAAGCACTTGAAACACTTACCCCTCTCTTTGAATAAGCTTGGTGACATCATCCACTTTCTTCTTAGTTTCAACAAAAACAATAGCTTTGCCTCCATTAATTTCACGAAGAAGTTTTGAGAGTTTTTCCTCTTTTTCATGCTCTTGGCAAACATCAATAATCTGTCTGATGTTGTGGTTGGCAGCCAAATCCAGAGAACCAATGTTCACTTGAATGTAATCTGTCAGAAAGTCTTCAGCAAGAGCCTGTACTTCTTTTGGCCAGGTTGCTGACCACATAAGGACTTGTCTGTCCGGCTGAAGATTAGATTAGATATTATAATTTATGATCATAATTACAAGCAGAATAAGCAGAAGCTGAAAGAATCATACCCTGATTTGTTCAATGATCTTCCTAATTTGAGGTTCGAAGCCCATGTCAAGCATACGGTCTGCCTCATCCAATACCAGGTAAGTGCACCTCCTCAAATTGGTAGTTCCTCTCTCAAGAAAATCAATCAATCGCCCAGGAGTGGCAATCACAATCTCAACACCTCGCTCCAAATCACGGGCCTAAATGTCAAAAAAAAAAAAATAGATACATTTATATAAACATTGTAGAATCCAATTTCAAGAAAAACATGGGTAAACACAAACCTGAGGTCCCTTTGGAGCCCCACCAAAAACACAAGTGTTCCTGATTAGAGAGGATGAGCCAAAATCCCTGGCCACACTTTGGATTTGCTGAGCAAGCTCCCTAGTAGGCGCAAGCACAAGTGCAATAGGACCATCCCCACGACTAAGCTGGGGTTGATGACTGATATGAACAGCAGCTGGCAGCATGTACTGTAAGAGGAACAAAAGAATGGAAAAGTTACATGAAAGTGTGTATTGGAAATAGAAAAGAACTCAATCCAATCTGGCCTTACGCAGGCCGTAGTCAACTTACAGCAAGAGTTTTCCCAGATCCAGTCTGAGCAATGCCAACCAAGTCACGACCAGAGAGAGCAATTGGCCATCCTTGGGCCTGAATGGGAGTAGGTTCAGAAAATCCTTGTTTACGTATTTCCTGGACAACAAAATCTGGGAAATTTCCCTCCTCAAAGTCTTGGTTTGGGTTGGGTACATTTTTTCCCTTAACTGTGATCTCCCGGCTCAGTCTGTAGTCTCTCACATCATCATCTGACCTGAAAATTCAATGAACAATTTCAATGTGACTGAACATGGCACCAAATAGTTCTGCACTAAAAGTGCACTTGAAGCGCACTGGAAGTGAACAGACCTTTGGGCCACATTAGTGTGAGGAACATAGAAGTTCTTCGCAAACTTCTGGAGAGCATTAAGGTCCCATTGCGGTTTACGCAGATTTTCTCCAGGTTGCTTGTTTTTCAAGTTATTTTTCATTGTCTGATCTTGCTTAAGGCCATAATTCTGCTGGTTGTTAGTATTCGACCAGGAGCGGGTCTTGAACTGCTGGTCTCCCCTATCTCCACGGGGAAACCTAGAAGAAAAGAAATTCCCCTTTTAAAACTAAGCTATAAGTGCCAAGAAATTTACATGCCTATTGTCTGAAATAAATGCATGTTACTTTCAAGCCAAGACCCCAATGGCATGGAAATACAAGCAGGGCAAATACAGTTAGTAATAAATTTGAAGACTAGCAATTATTAACTCTAACCCCATGAAAAACAAACATTACAGAATTGACAAAACCTGACACTCTAATTAGCCCTGAAAAGTTAGAGCACCGGACTTAAATCCAGGCCAGAAAACCATTTCCAGAAAGATTAGCTCTTTTCTCAAACCAGAAAATAATGCTGTTAGTCTATTACATTGTCAAGATCAGGCAATTTTTTCTCTTACCAAGGAGGTTGGCCTGATCTTAATTGATTATGGGGTTCACTGATCACGAAACTCTGATCCATATGGCTGACTGCATCATGTTGCTCTTGAGCACTGTTAGTATGCAGACCTGCTCCCAGTATACTTTTCCCTTGCATGACATTAAAAGAGGCCCTTGGAGACAAATTTTGCGGCCTATGACCCGGAAATGAATGAAAATTTGGTCTGTCCCGTCCTTGTCTCCCACCAGGGAACCTGCAAAGCGTACAGAAACGCTAAGTATCCTAAACATCAACCACCACCATGCAGAAGAACTTAACCCGTAGACCAGTTGAATGGGCTTTTAACATGTGAGGGACCAACTACATAAGAAAATTGCTCCAGGTAGGATTTTCAGAGATGTGTTTGTGCATCAACGTGATAATGATACAAGATTTTCCGATCATGTCTTAAGTACATCCAATTGATAATATCCATACATGGCATAATTGCTTGTCTAACAAAGTATTTCTCTGGCTTATCTACGAAGCAGATAGGATGAAAAGTAAACTAATCTTGAAGTTGGACTTCAAAATGTTCAAGTGAAAATATATAAACATGAGTGATATGATCCAGATATCAGATTTAAGAAAAGTAGAGTTCAATCAACTGAATCCTACTGATAAGTTCAGTAAAAATTTTATTTTGTGGACTACAGAAAAGTGTGGACAAATTTGACAATGAGGTGGTGTGCTTCAAATCAACTGATATGGTAAGAACGCACCAATAAATGAAAAATGCATTGGGTTGGGTAAATTAAAGAAAAGACTTTATTAGTCACTTCGTACAGTGAAGTGGAAACTCCAGATGTCAATTGAGAGTAGGAAGAACTCAGCAACAACAAATGGTAATCACATCACTTCATGTCAACAACTGACCAATTTTGAATACTTCTGAATCTAGTCCATAGAAAACGCAAGTAGGTTCATAGACATAAATGAGAACAAAAACCATGCTCAGATTAAATTTCCCAAAACTGTTGCTTCATAAAATTTATTATGAAAACAGTGTGCCCCCAAAATGGGTCAACATGACTGGGGCACTGTTGTCATTTTCCCAGTCATGTAGCTCAAAGTTATCTTGTTGAAAATGATAAATTCAATGACTGACCTCAAGAGGAAGCAAATAACATAATACACCATGATGTTCTAGAGAAAGATTTCTCTAAACATAAACTTGAAGACTGTTAATCGTTAGCATCAAAAAGTTAAATCCAAAAGAGAAATCAAAAAATTGGGAAGGCAGTAAGTAATTAATCTGCTTGGTAGTGAATCTAGATAAGAATCAGAGATGGCAAGTTATTCTGGGTTAACAATTATTGGCACAAGGCAACTTTCTCTAATTTATCCTAATGGGTCAGGCCTACTTCCCCTTCCTAGTGACAGGTTCAAAAATGAAGGTTGGGATACAAGAAGTGATTGGTGGAAAGAATTCGTAATCAGAATGAACTTGTACCAGAGATGAACCGAATTAGTGAGAGCGGAATCGTGCAAGCCACGTAGACTCCAATATAAGGCAGAATTATAATACAAGATGGCGGATGCGGCAAAAGAAAGATTCTACTCGATTTGAGAGATACGGCCCATCGGGGTACACGGCGGGTATTTATTAAGGCCTACTCACATCGTCTGATTCGGATACCCGTTGCCGTACATTTTACAGCAATACTTCTTGGTAAAAGAACGATGTCAAAGGTGGGCACACCTCCCCACCAAACCTGCAACACAGACGTGAAATGCACCGTCATATTACGGGGGAAAAGTCTCATTTAAAGCGAACTGACACATTCATCGTGTGAACGAGATATTCAGCATCCCAATGAACATAGAATGAATAAAAAGAAATCAATTAAAACAGAATAATGACCTCTCTGTCCGGTGAAGAAATCAAAAAATGGCTGACCGACACCCAGTCAGCCCACGGGACAGACAGACGGACGGGCAAAGCAGGACTGAACTACACGGCTCCAAGAAGGCTGCCCATTGGTTGGCAACACACCAAAACGAGCCAATGATGTACATTGTTACCAAAACTCATGGCCGCTCACAGAGAGCGCCACTGTTGAGTTCAAACATGTTCTCCAACACATTAAAAAAAATAAATTACAAGATTGGTTTTGAAATTAACCGAGGTTTTGCGTAAACAAACTGGACAATTCAGTTCACTAAAATTCATGTGGTCGATTATAAATCCTCACGAAAAAAACGGTGTTCAACTTCCGAATGATATTAGTGGTTTACCCTAGTTACCCGCATTTTGGAGCGGAAAGCTCAACACGATTTGAAACCCGACGCAATCCGCGCAATCATCACCCCTTGAGAAAGGCTTTTCTCAAGCATCAGCATCAGGCAGCATCAGGCAGCATCAGGCATCAGGTACTTTGGCAAGGTTTCTGTCATGAGCAAGGTCATAAGAGTCGACTGATTATTGTGTTTACCTGGCGGGTCAACGTGTGGGGTTGAAAAGGCTTAATTTGTCACGGAGTTTGTTGCCCATGATTGCGTATAGTTTGAAAGTTTCCTTTTTTTTGAGTAGTGAATATGCCCGGTCTGCATATCAGAAGATCGTCAATTTGACGAAAAGTTGTAATTTTGTTGAAAATCAGGCTTTTGCTTTGATGATGTTTTGACGAATTTACAGCAAATGATGGTCTTTTGAGTGATCTTTACAGACTGGGATGAGTGGGACTAATAAGGAATAGAGTCCTCAGACTCCAACAGGCAACAAGCCCAAAAACACAAGAGTATACTATTTCTTTTTAATAAACTTTGACAGCTGGATTCACATCAGTATTCAAAGAAAAACAACAATTTGTACATTTTTATTTTGAGCGGGCTATAATCAAATGCTTTATTACTTTGAAAATTAGATACAATACAAGCACATCCACTTGTGCAGATTCAATCACAAACAGAGAAGATGAAAAAATTCAATGCAAAGATGGGATGATGTAGTCATTTACAAGAATGAAACAACTTTAGTAGTACTGTGTAGATATAAAATTAAAATTGAGACCTGGTGAATTCAACCTTGACAACTACTGTAATGGATATTTATTTTTAAACCGTGACAATTAGTAATAAGATCCAACCACATTGGTTGGTTAATGTCTCTTCTGCAATATCAGTAACTGTCACTTTGGTCAATTGGTCAATTGTGTTATAGCAGAGACTACCAAAATATTTTTCATCCCCTAATTTGCATAGTTTTTCTCACCTGCAAGCAAAATTTACATCTGACTATGGAAATTCAGCACGTTCCAGAATTCTTATTACATAAATAAAATAGACACCCACATGATTTCTTGACTAATTTGATCCAGTCAAAGTCAGATTACAAAATTACTTCAGAAAATGTTTATCACTTTGGGATCAATATGCAATTAAACCAATGACGGTGGATAAAACAAGCCATTCTGTGGTTCTGAAATGAGCATGAAAATAACATGAAAAATATGTGCAGCTGGTTGGTCACGCAAACAGCTGAGTTTGTACGTTGTTTTTCTTTCAGAATTTTTATAACCATAATACGAGACAACAGCAACGTATATGCTTCAGCAAGGTGCAGCCTGTATGACTCACAAACTCAATATGAGTCTGCATTGAGAACTGAGGCTCTAGCATGTAGACTAGGGAAGAACAAACTATCTCTTTTTTATTAAAATTAATTCATCATTTAAAAAATCTATCTTACACACAAAGTACATATATAGATTTCACCACCAAGCAATAGTATACCAAACATCGCTGATTCAAAGTCCTTTTTTTCACACCCAAGTCAAGGGTGGCCATTTGGTGATAATTTTTGGCGATATCCAACAGAACAATTTTATTTAAATATTTATAAATAGCTTGTACAAATTTACTTGAAACATTAACAATAATAAAGCTCTACAAAAGAAGATTTAAGAATATTACTGAAGAGGGGTGGGGGTGAGGAGAGGATGAGGGATGGGAATGGGGATGAAGGAAAAAAGGGGGAGAGGGGGGCATACATCAAACATCACATAATCTGCAATAACGGTCAAGTAAGTTTTTCCTATTCCTCTTGACTCGGAATTATGTATACAAGTCTGCTTCATATTTTCTAGTTTCTAGAAATAAATTAACTTACATATACATATTTAGTAGTTGAACTCAGATGTGGATAACAATTTGATTGCTTAGAGTATGTAAACAGCACAAAAAGTAAACGCCCTAACCAAGGACAAAATTCAATTAGAACACTAAAATACAAATTAAGATCACACAAGGCATCAAGCAGAAATTGTTCTGTTGGATGTAACCGAATGTTAAATCGACTGACTTAAACAGCATGGATGTTTACATATACAGCACATATAGATATATATATATTATATAGATATCCATCAAGACATTCATTCTCTCACACACTCACACTTACATACTGACTCACACACATACACCTATACTTAGGCATACACAGATTGGACCCATGACAATGTCTGAGACAAATGCCATGATGAGCCTTTTCAAGCCATGCAACCAAAGTCAGTCTCATCATAACTAGCTACTCAAGATATAGAATACCATCAAGGCCCTTGAGTTTTCTTGAGTATTTCAAAAATAAAAACAAAAACAAAACAAAAAAGACTTAAAATTCTCAGTCGGAATTAAGATTACAGATGACTTGCCTGTCAAGATACATCAGTGCCTCTATAGGGGCTCTTGCCACTAATATTAAAGTTCACCGTTACTTTGCCTTCTGCTAGCTTGGCTACTGATTCAAGGCATCCTCAGTAAGATATAATTGAATGATGGAAACTAATTTGACATAGCAGTACAATTCACAGGACAATGACATTGACAAGAACGCAAACACATAATTAATAATTATTTACTTCAACTCGACTGGAAAAAGAGCTGAAGTTCATCACAGAGGCAGCCCCCATAGACAGGCACCCTACTAATTCTCATCAACTCACATCCAAAAATCACTATTTCAGACTTATCTCCAAGGCTCTAGTGGAATCCGAGTAATTAATCTATTATTTATCACAGGACAAAGGAGTTAAAGGAGAGTGAGAGAAGATGACAGCAAAACTTTCACAGCAGCATAACATAACTTAATTGAATTTCAAACTTAAATAGTCAAAATGCAAGTTCTTAAGGTGATATAAAATCCACAGCATTTCAGACACAGTTACAGATGTCAACATGGTCCTGGAAAACAATGTCACAATTTGTCTTTTATATGCTGACTAACGCAATACTATTTTTCAAACAGATATTTGGTAACTTATCAGAAGCTTTTAAGCAAGAATATAATAATACAATTTTCTTTATTAAAATGCTTGATCCAACCAACTGACTCAGCAAATGATTGTTCATTAAAAACTATGACCATTTCAAATGCTCTTAGAAACTTTGGACATTCATCTGCAATGAATACAGTACATAAAATAAAAAAGGCTGAAAACTGGAAGATTTCAATCACCTGTGAGTTATACATGGCTGAGGTAGGCATGTGATCAGGGACCTGAAACTGCTGCAAGTGAGCTTTGCTCTAGATAGATAAAATAATAAAATAATCTTAGAAATAATTTTCAGAAAGATAACAGGAAAAAGGCCAGACTTTAGATTAAATGAAGGCAATAAAAAATAATTGAAGTCAATCAAAAATATATAGATGACTGGAGCTATCATGTGTGTAAATATACTCACTTGCAGCTACCAAGGTTTTGAAAAAGATATTGCATAAAAAAATTTCATAAATTGAGACATTACAGATGATAGCATTATTAGACGAATGTGTAAAAAAATATGACTTTAGACTGAGTTTGCTTTACTTTTCAGGAAGTTGCAACCTGCTAATTAGGAATTATATGATTCCTCACAAGAATGCTGAATCAAAAGTAGGGTGTCTTGCATAGCAGAATTGGATTGAAGGATATAAGTATAAGTGTGTGAGGAGTTTCTAGAACAATTAGAAATCATACCTGATATTACGCCGGCTAATGCTCTGAATAAGCCAGAAGTGCAAACTAGGTATGAAGGAGCAAAAATAATACTATATACAATTCAGAATGTTTGAAATTTAGACTGACTATTGGGAACAAGTAACTTCCGACAAAATACACAACACTGCACAGCAAAACACCCCACATGATCTGTTAGTCTATAAAATTGTGAAGGAAACCACTTTTGCAAAACTCATTGAATGTTTTCAGATACCAAAGAGGGATAAAAACAGAACAATATAATGTCCGCCGCCGGCAGCGACATTGGCTAGAGCTCGCCGGCGAGTCAGCCATTACTAACTTCCAGTATGAATAGAAACATGGTTTGTGAGACTGCCTGATGAGGCAGGTCCTATTAACATTGACGACTGCTGTTGTAGTTGTTGTCTCATCTGTTTCTGCTGATTAAAGCAACTGATGAGAGTCTCTTCAATTAAGGCAGCAATCTTCTCTTTGTCAGCCTGCAATAAACACAGATTTGTAAGGCGTACTCACATGAGTCACATTTTCTGTATTCATTTACGTCAAGAGTTATGCAGCTCACCTCATTAATGAAGCCAAAATGTACCAACTCCTGAGCCAGCAGGAGAGAGGTATCAATATCTGATACAAGACATGTAAGCTGCCGGTTCATCTTGTCATCCATTCTTAGGAGGATAGTCATCTGTAAAGGAGGTTAAAAAGTGAATTCACAAAAATATAAAGAAAGAACAAAAAATCTAATGCAGAAAAATTAACATGAAAAGTATAAAAATTGTCATGATTTACTAACTAGAAGTTCACAGCTTTCGTCTTTTGGTTTCACATTGCACATCATATTAACCACTCTTCTAGCTTCGATATCTAGAGGTTCGGGTGTGACAGATTTGACTGATTCTGTTACTTCTGGTGATACTGCTCTAGGTCTTGGGGGTGGAGGTTGCCTTGCTTTGAAGGCAGTTAAGGGGTATATTCCATACCTGGAAAGCAATTACAATGAAGAAACAGAGGGTAAAAATTATTCTAATTGACATACTTTTAAGAAGAGTTTCTACTTACTTGACATCTTCAACAAATTTCTCTAGTTTTTCAGTGACTGGAACATCACACATTCTCATTTGGACTCCGGGTCCTTCAGTCTGTTTTATTTCAGCTACAACAACATCTGGTCCATAAAGCCGTTGAACAACCTCATCTGATATTGTATCGGAAATATTTGCTGCAATTGATAATAAGAAATATTTAGTACAAAACTAGTTGAGGGAAAATGTATAATCACACTCAAATCAGATAAAGTAAAATATACCTGTGCTATTAACAAGAGCATGTGCTGCCAATAATTTTAAGGAATGGACTTCAAAGAGAAGAGGATGGAACAGAAGTTCTCGTGCACTGGGACGTTTTGAGGGATCCTTGTGAAGACACTTAAAAATGAAGTCCTTTTGCTGCCCATCATCAAGACTCTCAATAGTTCTGTGTATGTGTTCATCTGTCACCAGGGTTCCAGAGTCACCATTTCCTTGAATTTCTAGTGCTGCCATTTCCAAAGCACACATTCCAAAAGAGTAAACGTCGATAGCTGGAGTTACTGAAGCTATTTTTATTTTTTTAAGAAAGGGAACAGAATTTTTAAATTTAGTCGTTTTCATAAATGGTACTGGATAAATGATGGACAATATTGAAGTCAATCCTCACCTCCATACTCAGGGGCAATAAAATGCATATTCTTCATGTTATCTCTGCAGGTTTTGACGTGGTGATGGATGGCATCTGGTGCCACTGCATGGAAGAAAATCAAACAGAATCCAGTGTTAGAGTAAGATGTGGCACAGCTCCTCATGTCTCGACAGTACCACTGACGCTCTCTAACGCACAGCAGAGCGCAGCCAGGTATTTCCACGCACAAGCACCTCGGTCGCAAAAAGACATTCACGACGCCCCGTTCCGGCGGCAGGGCGTAACGCGCAAATCTGGTTCCCCGGAGGCTCCTAACATTTCGGCAAACGCAAAGGCAAAACACGCGATCGGCCGATGTGTTTGTGCGTTTGTGTTGGAAATGACACCAGCCAGCTGACTGTCAATGACATGAGAAAACTTTAACGAACAAGCATTCTCTCTCGTCAAGCCTTAGACTAGAAAACAAAAATTACCTGGCCTTAACAGCTAGGAAAAATACGTAGTGAAAAAAGAAAGGGTACCTTTCTCCCTTTTCTTTTGTGGTTTTGTCTTGAACTTTACCTGATCCTATTTTGACAAGGCCGTTGTGCTGAATAAATATGGTATCACAGGTGAGATTCCCATGGATGATAGGTGGAGAACAGGAATGCAAGTAACTGGAAAGAAGAAACATCAGGATTGACCCCATCAACACGGTTGGCATAGCATGCCACATGTGGCTGGCAAATGCCACACCACACCTACCTGGGCCCACCACCAGTCACCAAATCATGAACCTGTTCACATTTCTCACGTTACATGCAAAAATCAGGGTTTATTGGATGTGTATTATTTTTGTGAAACACATCATCCAGAATAATAGGATATATTTTAATTATATATTCATAATCATAGGTGAATGGTGGTAGAACCAGTAGCCTGCATCAGCCCTCAACTACAGCGCAAAGAGAGCAGGATGCAATGTTTTGGATTGAACAGGTCTAGCACAGTCAATGACTGCAAATCAGGGCTGAAAATAATCAGTCGAAACATAAACACACGAACCAAGGTTACTTTCAGCTTCGATCACAGCAACTGTCATGTGACAATCATAAATAAACTGAGTGATCAGGGTTACATTCCAAAATTTTGATGAGGTTTGGTTGGTAGTGAAGCCGATAATTGATGTAGATGAACAAAACTCTTGAATGCTTCCACATAAATTGCATGCTGCTCCTAGCCCACAAGACCTTAATCTCAATAAAAACATTTAAGACAAAATAAATCATAGATCAACAAAACACAACCAAAATGTAGACAATTAAATATTTTGGCATCCTCAGAGGCTGAAAATGAAGAGATTGGAATTAGACAAGTATGACTTTAATGTAATGCTTAGGAAGCTACATTAGGAAAATATTAGTTGATAAAAACTTATTCAAACCAAAGATGTAAGATAAATAAGCTGAGATATGCCAATCAAAATTTTACGGAAGTGTGACTCATTCAATTATAACTTATGACTGAGCTAGAAGAAATTGATAGCCTTTAACAGCTGTACATAATATAAATCAACAAAGGAATTTACAATAAATTTGGTTGCTGCAGGCAGGCCAACAAAGATTCAAGTTAAATCATACATTCACAGATAGCATTCCTGCCCTTGGATAGCGTAGGACATTCAACATGCTGCAAGTTACTAAGTCTTGACAGGCAGACTGGAGTCTACTTGCAAAGACACTTTTTTTCATTCCACGGCAATGGAGAAATAAAAGGGGACTTAAAAAGGCATTGTCTCTTAAAGGGTTTGCAACCCTGCCAGATAAAGAGAAATTAAAGGCAAATTAGTAGCAAAATTTGCATGTAATTGATAAACCGAATATTGTTGCATTTGAGTGAATTTTCTGTTCTGACATGCAAGACAGCACAAAACACAAAGATTTGGATCTGAGAGCACACTTCCAGGATTTAGAACTTATCTCAGTAAAATCAAAGAATGCAAAAATGGAAAGGCCTCAAAAACTACATAAATTTCATGTACAGGAGTTAAAGTATTTTCTTTCTTTACCTGAGCGCAGAGAGGATCTGAGTACACCATCTCTTCCAGGCTTGCAGTGGTAACTTCTTCACATTGCGCTTGGTACGTTTTAGGAACTGTTTTAAGGACCCTGATGACATGTACTCAGTGATGAATATGACCTGGGAAGTACAGAAATCAGCAAATAGAAAAAAGTATAAAGGCACTCAACACATTATTTTACTGTTGACTTCTGGCTGGAAAATTTATATGTGTAGATGTTAATACAGTTGGAATACGCTACTCACTCTTGGCTTGTCATTGTGCGTATCAGTCCAGTAGCGGTGAAACTTGACTATGTTAGGGTGCTCGAGCTGCGTTAGGTTCTCGAACACCTGCTGGATTTTCTCCTCTTGAGCTTTGAAATTCTTACGCTCGGAAAACTGCACCTCATTCCATACGACCTCCACGCCCTCCTCGGTGTCCATGGCGAGATAGGCGCAGTCGATGCCTGGCACATCACGCTGCTCCACCTGAAACAATC